GTTATCATTGTATGTGAGGCCTTCAAGACCACCCGTGTTACACCAGAAAACGTTAAAATGTTCGCCTGGTGACGAAATGTTGCCTTCTGACTTACGAGAAAACAAATATGCGGGATTCACATTTTACTTTTCCCAATAGCCGGAGAAAAAAAGGCCGCCTTTTGACTGCATATTACGTCATGTTGATAAGACACAAAAAGTGCCAGGCGCACAGAGTGTTGTCCCTCAAGTTTTGAGACTGAGTTCTAGTGTCATCTCTGTAAATGGCGGCTTCCATGTGATTCGTAGTCGTTGTCGCTGGTCTGTCGCTGGTTTGTTAGGGGCTGGTTTGTAAAGGTAAGAGATTCTATAAAAATGCTTTTTACATGTCAAGCTAATCTAAATGATACTGAGTCTCCTCTTTTCATCTCAGAGAATGGAGAAAAAAATAGTGTTATAGGCCTTATCGCACCACACTAGAGTGTTCTCCGTAAACATCACTTTGGTTAGATAATTTGGTTTTATCAACTGGGTTGATAAAAGGGAGCTTTAGATTGGACTAAGAGTACGAGATTGAGTACGAGTGCGATTTTCAATTTTCAAACCAGTGACGTTTCCAGAGCCCTAGTTCTTCATGCTGGTTTTAGGTTTTAGGGTAGCTCATGGGATAAAATGGGTATGTGTTGTGATAATGTGAAGCCTGAAAACTAGAATTGAAAAATCGTTCTCGTGGTCGATCTCGTACTCAAATCTAAAGTCCCCGAATATGAATTGGCCACCGTAAACAGGGCTTGACACTTACTTTTCCCTCAACTTGCCAGTATGGAAAGTACACTTGGAAATTTACTTTCCACAGTAAAAATTTCCTTTCCAGAAGACAAGGAAGCATATTTTTTACTACCCATAATCAATGAATGTAATAAAGTTTAATTTACCAAATGTTTTGTCTTGAACACTTCAATTATTCATTACTCATTAAAATTGGGACGCCTTGCTCTTGGCCCACTGTTCCACCAAGTTTTCAGTGCAGGAAGTGGGTCAAAGTCAGAAACAGGAGGACCTTCTGCAGTAACCCGGATCAAGCAGTCTAATATATCCACAGACAGACAAGACCTCTAATCTGATTTGATCTTTCCCATGAGAGAAAAGCCCCGTTCACAACAAGATGTTGACAGGGGTAAAACCAAGAGAATCTCAACTAACATCAGAATGTTGCAGAACCTGTCATTAAGATTTCTTAGTCCAAGGCGTATGGGAGTTGACGTTGGAGCTTCTTTAGCTTTCTGAGCTTCCACACACTTGGCATGGCGACGACTTTGATCGTGCCCTTTAATATTACTCACGTGAAAGCTTTTACTTCCGCTGAAGAAGGAGCTATTCTTGTCAGCTATATTAGGAAAGTCTCTGCACACTTTGCGATGCATCTGTCCCTCCTTTTCATTGTAATCCAATCATATAAACTCTGAAAGCCACTCTTTTCGAAATCCACGTCCAATCATCTTTCTCTTCTGTTCATATTTTTCCCGTGACGTTGACTCTTTCTGTTCTGTTCCTTCTTGGCTGTCTGCAGGAACAGCACTTTGCGTGCATGAAAAACCAAACTAAAAAGGCTCATGATTGTTGATCGATGACAGACTCCTCAAAATGGCCGATCACATTTCTCATCAGACCTACTTGCTATTGCATCATCCATCTTGTACCCAGTCTTCCTACGCCAGGAGTACGCGTGCAGATTTTGTGGATATTCTTGCGTTCCAAAATGGAGTTATTCTTGTGTATTTATTATTTATTTATTTATTTATTTATTACTATTTATTGTTTACCTGGCTGTTTTAACACCAAAAACTACTTTCCAAACTGTTGAAAACCACTTGCCTTATCGGGCAAGTATTTTTGGTTGATTTTGTTTTTTTGTACTTTCCACTCAACTTGTTTTACTCTCTAACGGTGAACGGGTAAATGTTAGTGTCGAGCCCTGAGTTACTTGTGTATCGTTCGTTCTCTACTCCGCGTGTCCATGTCTCATTTAGGCTCCTTTATTTTGTCTCCATGTGGTTCCCAGGTGAAGGCATTGCATGGTATTTTTACTTTCTCCATTCATAACCAATTAGCTTTCCACTATCACGGTCTCTACTTCATCAACCTTGTTCACAGGGTCTCTTTTCTTCCCGTCCCAACCCTGGGAGCTAGGTTGCTACTTCAGTTTAGAGCCGATCGGCTCTGGTAACTTCCTTGTTGCACACTTTCTTTGGCCAATAACATATCTGGGAGATTGTCCAAAAGGCTGCCTCTCAGTTAAGTGGAACAGCATGTCCTCCAAAAAAATAAGAGCATTGTCTTTCACAAAGGAAAATAATTGGGAAGTCCAATCCATTGAGTTAATTTAATATTGTTTGAGGTTGGTTAGTGCTGCTGGTGTATATTTATCAGTAGGAATGGATATTTATAGTACAGGTGTGATAAACGGTAGGGAGAATTAAGACTGTCATCTTTTTTCCTTAGTGAACCTCGAAGGTCTGTGCCATCTGGTGACAGTCATTATAATCTGACCGTGAATGGTGGTAACGCCGCTGTGGGTGACAATTCCAAGATTAATTTGGCCCCAGGAACACCCGGGTAAGGAATAGAAAGTGGCTGTTTTGGGGTGTATTTTCTTAAGGTGATAATTTTGTTTTGTTTTGCATTTTCTCTCTTGCACGCGTGTACACGCGAGACTTAGCCATAGCCGAGTCGATTTAATAAATTCATACCTGCATTTAGCCTGTCAGGGGACTCTCCTCAAGGGTTGTGGTGTGTATGTGTTGTAGCGGGGAGGGGGAAGTGTTTGTAACCAAACCTTCACTAACGGCCTCTTCTCGACAACGGCAATGGCCTCTAAAGCGCATCCCAACTGCCAAAATGTAACCTCTCGACAACGGCCAGTTAATCAACGGCTGACGAACGGTGTCTACAAAAAAAAAACTTGATTCGTACCGCGTGTCGTTGGTCTCTGCTTCTGTGTGGTTTCTGTTTTATTGATATATTTTGATTGTGTTACGTATCTATAGGTTACAATAAGCATTTGTTTAAATAAAGGAATTGTGTACCCGCTGAAAAACAAGTGTCAGATTACATCCCTACCTTCCCATAACGGCCACCTTCATCTGTCCCCAAGGTGGCTGTTAGGTAGAGGTTTGACTGTAATGCCATAAATCAAACAATTAGAAAGTAGAAATTTTTAACTGTGTCAAACGTCTTGCTAAGCCCCATTGGTTTTGGTTTTGATTGACGAAAAACAGCACGTATATTTTCATCCCTTAGTTGCTGCTGGGGACACTATGGTCACATCACGACCAATTCCCCAATAAACGATTCGTCCAGCTAACACTGAACCACTCTTTTTGTTGCTGTTTTTGTTTGTATTAGAACTCCAAGTACTACTGGAAGCAGCGATGTTCCATTTTTTCCTGAACCCCAGGAGAATAGATATGCCAGCTCGGGATTTCCCACGGAAAATCCAAGTTCCTTGGGAGCTACTGAATCAGCGACCCGTCCAATTGAAGAGGAATCTCCAGGAGATAAATTAGATGAGTCATCGTGCCTTCCTGTTGGAGAGGAATCCCCCGGGTATAAGTTAAATGAGTCATCGCGCCATCCAATTCAAGAGGAACACCCCAGAGATCCCTCGGACGTATCAACATTGTCCCGTCCGGTTGAAGAGGAGTGTCCCACGGATAAATCGCATGTACCATCAACTAGTCCAGTTCAAGAAGAATCTCCTATGGGTAAATCGAATGAGTTACTGCCCTATTCAGTTCCCGAAGAAAACTCTGCGCGAAAACCGGATGGAGCGTTTAATAGTTCTCACACTGAGGCGCTGTGTACCTCTCTACACTCTATTGGCAACCAAACCAGAACTGAAGATGATAAGAATGGTAAGAATGGTAATAGAGATGTCGCGCTACCTCGAGTTCGCCTGGAAAAGAGCTCAGGAACTTCTTTCCTGGTCAGGACTCCAGAGGAGCCGAAGTCAGCTGTGGAACCAAGTATCAATGTTCCCAAAAGCATGGCTTCTCCTAATGCTGCCGATGCTGGTCCACATAATAGACCTCTGGGTAGTGCCAGATGTTCATCTTCGTGTGCTCCCCCTCCTTCTTGCGGTAAGGAGTCGCCTCATAGAAAGGCACAACATTCGAGGGAAGATATGATTCCGGAGGTTACCCTCCCTGCCGGCGCAGTTGCAAATGCAAACGAATCCATAAGAACTGCTCGTNTAATAGACCTCTGGGTAGTGCCAGATGTTCATCTTCGTGTGCTCCCTCTCCTTCTTGCGGCAAGGAGTCGCCTCATATAAAGGCACAACATTCGATGGAAGATATGATTCCGGAGGGTACCCTCCCTGCCGGCGCAGTTGCAAATGCAAACGAATCCATGAGAACTGCTCGTAACGGGGAAGCCTCGTTTCCAGGCAATCACCATGGACATTCGACCACCATCGTATTAGAAGACGACAATCCCGAGAATGACCGTAAGGGTCACGAAAAATGTAACGGTGGATGCCGACTCATGTGATTTAGGAGCAGCAAAATTAAGAAGTATTTAGAAAACAGCCCTAAGAAAATACGCGCGCTGATTGGTTAAAAATCGTGTTTCTAGTTAACAATTAGATTATGAGCTCGAGATTTCTATGGCGTGATGGTTGACTCGGGCTGCGCCCTCGTCAACTATCACGCGATAGAAATCTCGAGCGAATGCGTCATCACAGTCGTCAAAATTTGTTGTGGACTCACGAGGCGCGCCACAGCATTTTGACCACTGTAATGACGCATATCGTTGTCGACAAGAGTACAGACAACGCTAAACCACATTCGATTTGTCAAGTAGATAGTGAGTAGCCTAGCAGCGTGTGCTTGGTGATGAACTGACGGCCGCTTCTTTGCGTTTTCGAAGTGTGCAAAGAGGATATAAATTACGTTTTGAACGACTAGTAGATTTACTCTTAAACAATTACATTACTCGCTTTCGATTTCTATGCGTGATAGTTGACACGCGTTAGAAATCTCGAGCTCATAATCTAATTGTTGAATAGAAACACTCGTGAAAGTTTGGGAGAACTCGAAAAACTGTGGAAACACTCGCCTGCGGCTCGTGTTCCCATAGCATTTCTCGTTCTCCCAAACTTCCACTCTTGTTTCTGTTAAACAATTAGACATTTTAAAGGAGCATTTTCAGACCATTTCGGTCCAAAAAGTTTTGAAAACAAATAAAAGCGACTAAGTTTAAGGTTCAGTTTTTGTTTAGCGAATTAGGACGTATGCCGTATGTGGCAGCTGTTTCTCAAGAGGATAAAGGTATGTCTTTAGTGAAAAAAAGGAACCTTCAGATCTAGAAGTTATTTTCTGGCTGCAACAATCTGGGATTTCTGTCGGGATCTTGATACAGGTAGATGGTAGTGTCTTTATTATGACAAAAAATAGAAACGATAGCTATTTCATAGCTCAACAGATTCATATGATAGTTATTTAAGAATAGAGTATTTAAAAGTCTAATTTTTATTTTGCCTGCTAATTTTATTGGCTTCGTGAAGAAGCAATATATTATAGACTAAGTTCTGAGCTCTCTCGGCTTGTCATCGTTATTCAATCGGAAACGTTCGTGTTTCGCTCGGGTAATGAATTGTTGCATTGACAAATTCTCTGAATACCCACAGAGCAATCGAAGCACTTGGGATATTGTCACGTGAGCTTATCGGAGACGACGTCACGTTACCCAGCATCCTGCAAAATGGGAACCGTGGACTCATCAAATTTGTAGTCTAGAAATACGCTAAATATAACTTCCCTCTTCAGAAGGTGGTAATTGACTGTACTTTCAAGATTGGATATCGATTGTGTTTATTTGTTTGTATGGTTATTTAAAGAAATAGTTTTAATATTAGTTATCACCAGAAGTCCCTACAAGTCCCTATCACAAATTGATAGAAAATAAGAAAAAATAAATAGATAAATAAAATAAAATACATTACAAGTCTACTATTCATTAATTAACTAATTAATTAATTTCAGTGAGTCAATCTGCTTAAGTTGTTGAGGAATTTTCCTCTAGAGCTCTGCTGCTTCGGCCATAAAAGCCCTATCTCCAAGACTAGCAAGAGTCTTGACATCCAAAAGGTTTTAAAAGGAGTTCAGCTTTTGATCGTAGATTATAACTGGAGCTAAGTTTAAGAGAAGTTAGGCCTCATACACTTTGAAGGCAATCCACGAATGGCCAAACGTTTGTCTGATTTGTGCCTCTATCGCGAGAGGTGGTGTTGCAGTAATCTTGGAGTTATTCGAAATGAAGAATATGATTTGGTTAACTTTGAATTCTCTGAAACTGCTATTATTAAAATGACTTTTGA